TAAAGGCATTTTAAATCCTTCAAACAGTTTTTCACTTATTGCGTGTCTTCAGGGTACAGATCGCCCGTGATAAATGAGGGACTACTGTATATATATACTGTATGTACAGTAGTCCCTCACTACTTCATGGTTAGACTTTCGCAGAATCGCTCCAGACGATGCTCCAGTACATCTGTCAATCTCACGCTCCATTCTTCCTTCATTGTGAACAAAACGCCGAGATACTTGAACTCCTCCATTTGAGTCAGAACCCCACCCTCGACCCTAAGAGATTAATCCACCCTTTTCTGGTTGAGGACCTTGGCCTCAGATTTGTAGGTGGAAGTAGAATCATATGTATATCTACTGGTTCTTTGTCTTATCAAATATTTGTCTCTTGAGCAGTAAATACAAGAAGTATTCACCTCTCGCTGTGTTTGCCTCATGATCTGAAATTTAAAAAGGACTCAGAGTTTTATTTCCTTTAGTTCAAACACATTAACTTCCACTTTGAAGATGTGAAATACGTTTCAATATGAAACAACAACCCATAGCACAGAAACATCCATCCATCCATCCATCCATCAATCATCTTCCTCTTGTTCTGAAGTCAGGTCTCGGGGCAGCATCTTGAGCAAGGAGGTCCAGACATCTCTTTCCACAGCACCTCTTCCAGCTTTTCTGGGAGGACTCCAAGTTGTTCCCAGGCCAATTAAGAGATGTAGTCTCTCCAGAGTGTCCTGGGTCTTCCCTGTGGTCTCCTCCCAGTCAGACATGGCTGAAGCACCTCCCTAGGGAGGCATCCAGGGAGCATCCTTACCAGAAGTTCGAACCACCTCAACTGACTCCTCTTGATGTGAAGGAGCAGCAGTTCTACTCCGAGTCTCTCCTGACACCTGAACTTCTCACCCTGTCTCTAAGGGAGAGTCCAGCTACCCTGCAGAGGAAACTCATTTCAACCTCCTGTATCCAGGATCTCATTCTTTCGGTCACTACCCAGAGCTTGTGACCATAGGTGAGGATAGGAACGTAGACTGTCCAGTAAACAGAGAGCTTGGCCAGAGAGTTTTTCCCTCTTCACCACAATGGATCGGCACAAAGTCCGCAATACTGCAGATGCTGCACCAATCCTTCTGTCAATCTCATGCTGCACTCTTCTCTCAATCATGAACAAACCCCCGAGATACTTGAACTCCAAAAACCTCATCCTCGACCCGAAGAGAGCAATCCACCCTTTTCCACTGAGGACCATGACCTCAGATTTGGAGGTGCTGATTCTCATCCCAGCTGTTTCACACTCAGCTACGAACTGCTCCAGTGAGAGCTGAAGATCACAGCACGATAAAGCCAACAGGACGTCTCCATCCATGTCAGGGCAAATCTTTGATCAGACAGATTCTTTATTTAGACCCGTTTATTATCCCATTCCATGAGCTCATTAGCATTTGACCCACAGATGAGGAGGAGAAGTGAACCCTGATGGGACGGAAACAGTCCTGTCGTAGCAACAGTCCTAATGAGCAGCCCAGTAAACAAAGGTCACATGAGAGTGAAGTGTCAGATTCACCAGCGGCTCTGTGATGTTCTCATTATCAGCAGGAATGAAGTTACATTGACCACCTCCACCCTGGAGATATATTAAGCTCCAGTGTTTGAATGTGCTTCATGCCACATGATGCTTTTAAAGTTTGGAAATTATTACAGAAATAAACAGAGGCTCAAACCACAATTAAAGACACAATTTATTTAAAAAATGCATTTTTGCTCACTGCCTGTCCTGTCAACTTTAGACTAAATTTATTGTGTAAGATATTATGGAATTGTATCCATTCGGTCAAACTTTGATGACGAATGGATGGAAGAATGGACATTGTTTCCAACTCTTGGCTCTCCGGCGAGGGACAAAAAGACAAAGACCCTGAGGATGACAGGAAGTTGTCAGAATGTTTGTTGGCTGCTATCTGCGCAGAGATATGGTGTGTT